AAATGAAAACCAACAGAGGCTGGGGAAGTGCTACTTTGTCAGAGATGCTATCCTGTTCATGGTTCTATCTGTCTGTTCAGGTGGACCTTAAAGATTCCATGGCATTATTTGAAAAGAGAGTTTCTCTCTGTCTTGTCCAACCCAGATAAAATTGATCATTCCTTTTTTGTTGTCTTTGAGACATTGCTGTGTGTACCACATTTGCCTACAAGTAGACAGTCTCTACACTTTACAATAAATCCTGCAAAGCTCTTTGAGATGTCATCCCGACATGAAAGGTGCTATATCAAATGGACGAAAATATTATTATTTATTACTTGGCCATAATTGAATGTGGCCTGGGAAGAATAGGAAAGGGAAAAAAATTGAAAGAGAGGGTTTTGTGTCCCCGCGAAAAAAAAAACTACGCAATTATCTTTGGGATCTTCGACCGTTGAACGATTTTGAACAAAATGATTTGAAACTACGTACGATTCCGAAGATCTGTGGTCAGAATATGCTTGGCTGCAATTAACAATTCCTTTCGTAGATGAGCAGTTTCTGAAGGACAGTTCGTCAACAGTTGTAACATTCCTTTTACCATCTGCTGTGAATATTTTCCAACCGACTCCTACAGAAAGGCAGTAAACAAAATATGTACATTTTCAGAACCAATATTTCCATTCAGGAAACTCCCACCCCATCACAATATAAAAATAACTTTGCCAGTCAATCTCCTCAGGAATTTTCCTTCAATTTACTATAAAATCTAAAGCAAAATAAATAGTATTTTTACTATTATTTCAGCATTCTCTGACAAAGAAACTAGATTGATCAATTCAATTTATAATTTAATAATTTCTAACACAATTAGAAAAAGTAAAGCTTTAGTATGTTAAGCCAAAATATATTCATTCTGCCCTACAAAACTCAAAGCACAGTCATTAAAATGGACCTACCTGATAGATTCTTATGATATAGGCAAGAAAGGACAGTGTTTTTATCTGGGCAGCAATGAAGTCAGCATACAGTTCTTTGTTGTAAAGTTTATTTTGCCTGCAAATGTTTTTAGAAATTCAATTTACATGCTAAAAAAATACAGGTTTCTAAATACAAGTGTTTATAATTTAATAAATAAGAAAATAAGACCAAGTAGATAAATACTAAACAACAGAGCTCTTCATAAAGACATAAACATAAATTTTCCAAAGGGTGGGAAATACCACATTGTAAGACAGCTACATTTTTAAAACCAGATTAAATGTTAACAATTTCCAATAGCACTAATTTCTAGAAGAAGTTGTTCCTGGTGCAGAAATGTTTATCCACTCGCAGAAACGGGTACTGCATCAGTCTGCCCAATATCTAGATAATAATAATCCTTGCGTTTGATATAGTGCCTTTTCACGTCTTCAAGACGTCTCAAAGCGCTTCACAGAATATATCGTAGAGTGAATTGACTGTATATATTTTGTGGACGAAATACATCAGCCAATTGCGCACACCAGTGTCCCACAAACAGTCATGGATTGAAGTGACCCATTTATTATTTTATTTGAAGGAATTATTACCCCCGGAAAAGCAATCTGCCGATCGACTAACAACCGGTTCCTACATACTGCTTGGTAAACAGAGGCGTATGGAGTAAGGAATCTTGCCCAAAATTTCACCCTGATGGGAATCGAACCCAGGTTTCTTACTTGCGAAGCGAATGCTCTAACCACTGAGCTACAGGACTCCGCAGGTTTAGATATGGCTAATCAAACAACGTACATAGTTTGTGTAATCAAATTCAGGCTGTATGCTTACCACAAGCCATCTCACACGATTTCCTAAAAGGAGTTACACAATGGATCTGTGTACAGTATGGCATTAATTTAGCAAGGTCTTGTGATGCACTCAATGACAGCTGTGTGTTAAGTGCAGAATACAATGAGTTTGGTCTGTCCTTGCAGTCAGTAAAGTGATGCAGCATCCCAGCACAACGACTAGGAATGTATTGAAACTTGACTGTTCCCTTGATGGTACAACAGATAAATCTACAATCAATTTAGTCTCATCCCTGCAGTTAATCCAATATATAAAGCTTTACATGTAAATCAACTGTAACTGAGCTAAGTGACTTCTTGACCAAACTTGTTTATTCAACCATTATCTACACAATGCAAACAAGATGGTTAGTCATTGGTCATGGTACTACTATTCTGCTACTACTGTGCTACTCTTCAAAAGGTTGAGGTTGAAGAGGGGAGAAGCATAGTTTTAGAGGACAGAGAGAGGAAGAGAGGCACCAGCCCATAGGAATGGAAGGAAAAGTGTCATGGACATAGGAAAGGTAGGAGAGATATAGGACAGGTGGGGGGAGGCAAAACTAAATACTGTTTAGTCAAGAGAAAATAGTATAACCTTTGACCAAAAGTCTCAAAGTCTCCCTTGCTTGCCTTTTATGCAGGGAGCGTTTCGAAGCATTAACAGTGGTGTGGCTTGATGCTGAGTTGGAGAGGGAAGAGAATTGGCCAAAGGCACCGTCTACGTGACCCTATCACCCCCAACCTTGCCCAACTCCACTGGTTTGCCATTACACAGAGGATACAACAACAACTACAACATTCCATACAGTTCAAGATCCTGGTCCTGGTTCAAAATCCTGGTCCTTACCTTCAAAGCCCTCCAAGGTCTTGCTCCCGCTTACCTCTCCGACCTCCTTACTCCCTATCACCCTGTTCGCTCCGTCCGCTCAGCAGGCTCTGGTCTGCTTCACGTCCCCCGCCTCGCTCACCCCACTATTGGCGGGCGGGCCTTCCGCCACTCTGCACCCGCCCTCTGGAACTCCATCCCACAGTCCCTCCATCTCGCCCCCTCCCTCGCTACCTTCAAGACCCACCTCAAGACCCTCCTCTACAACCGTGCTTTCAATCTCCTGCTTCACCCCCTGCCCTCCCGCTCCCCCACCCCGACCCCAGCTCGGGTCCGTAACTCTGTCTGTCCGGCACCTTGGGACGTCCTTCCGACATGAAAGGCGCTATACAAATGTAATTTTGTTGTTGTTGTTAACACGGCCTGTTTAAATTAAATCTGTCCGACCCTTAATTCTACTGAGCCTATAGCACCACCTGCAGGAATACTGCTTACCTTGCTTGAAGTGTAACCTGAAGCATGATCGTGCTCATTATCAAGGGCACAAAATCACCTACAATGCTGTGTATGTTCTGTTTGTACAGCTGAAAGAAAGCAGAATTCTCGTCAGTTTTATGTCGAACTACCAATGTTAAGCATTAATTGTCACTTTCATTTTTTAATGTTCTTAAGTAATCCTATTTGTTTCATTTGCAGAACATTACAGTGCATTGATTCAATACATGCAACACTCATGTAAAGGTCATAGATTCATCATTGCAATTCCCCGTGCACCAAACTCTCAAACCTCAGGTATACCTTCGGGATAAAGGATACCTCCCACACTTACTCACTGCCCACACAGAGGTCGAGGACAAAAAAAAGAACAATGACAAAGACAACAATTATTTGGGGAGGACAAGTTTGCGGGGCTACGGAGAGATTGGGGGAGTGGGATTGATTTGGATAGCTCTTTTCAAAGAGCCGGCACAGACACAGAGGTGATTGTAGTAACAGTGACACTAGGTTATTAGAGAGAGCACAAGGCAGCAACAAGGGGTGGGGGGGGGGGGGGGGGGCAGCAGACAAAGAACACACAAGCGTGATAAATTTAAGAAACAAATCGAAAGAGAGAATACACCACAGAGTCCTTGGGGAGAAGAAAAGAAAATAAGTTCCCACAAGGTATCACATCCTGGCGAAAAAAGTTCTGCAGGCCTCAAAAGTCTTCAGAGAATAAATCTAGAACAATATCAATTGGTCCATTACAAACATTACAATCTCAGCCATCAAGCTGAAACGGGTTTCTCCCACCAATAATAATGAAAGCTGACAGGTACCTGATACATTAATACAACAATAATCGGGAGTTCAGCCAACACCTTCAGTGAGAGGGAGCCTCTGGGAATTATCGTATGCTGAAAGACACAAATATTTCAAAAAACTGAAGGTCTTTCATTGATACAGTCAACTATTGCAGTACTGAAACATAAATAATAATATAAACAAGAGCAGCAGTGTCCACATGAATTCTTTGGGCAAAAGCCACTAACTGTTACAATTAACAATCAGCTTCTTTCCAAGCCTGAAACCTTGTTTTTTTAAAATATATATATATCTATACTAATAAAGATAAAATGTCTGTGTGTCTCTCTGTCTGTCAAGCCAATAACGCAATAACCGATCGACGTAGAGACATGATTTCTGTCACTACTTTGCTGCAGAATATATTAGGATAAATATATCTCTAAAATGGTGTAATTTCCTCTGTCGCCTCCTTGTTGCAGAATACCGTGCATACCTCATATTTTGGGGCTTAATTCAATATTTTTTTAAATATAGCTCATCAACTTCTTCAAAAGGAAAAGCACCATGAATTGCAATGCTAACAAATCTGTCAACAATCTATTCAAGATCTTGTGTGAAACAAACCAGGTATATATGGACAAGTTGATCTCTTTTTGGTCAAAATTATGCTCTAAGTACTGACATTTAATTTGTTCATTTTGGAGCATTATACATTTTTACCCATCTCTCTCCATTTTCTGACTACCAGGTCTCTCATAACAAAAATGTTCGCATTTGATACAGAATCTCATGTCACAACATTTTATACAACACACTTTTGAAATATGTGATAGCCAATAATTCTCCAGATAAAAGTGGTCGTTGTTTGTGAAACGTTGCTGTGCACAAACTGATTTCCATGTCTGCAATTAGCAATTCCAAATAAAAAGCTCCCTTAATTTTAAAAACTATTGCTAAACAGTACAGAATTCCATAGTAAACTGCAATTTAGATTTATACGAAGGTTTGAACACAAACCCGTTTATGTAGTATCACAATACTGGTCCCTGGACTCCAGAGTTTTACAAAATAATTTTAAAAGAGGAACTAATGACGAAGATCAAATGACTTATTAACCATGCCGTCAGATCAAAAAATGTTTTGGTCACTAATATGAGGGATATCATTGCTATGCAACTGAATACTGTTACCAGTCACTTTCAAGTAATCGAAAATGGTATAAAAGTTAGATGAAAGCAACAATCTCACTGTGTACTTCAATTCAACCTCAGAAGAGAACCTCAAATCCACCAGACCATTCTTGAGTCCTCAGAGAATGAATTCCTGCAAACTTATGAGCAACCTGGGTTAAAATTGCACAACACCTTGTCATACTGGACTCTTACAGTGAGAAGTGGGGAGACTTTTAACCCACCAGTCTAGGCTATGTTTCAGTTCCCTGATGTGAAAAGCCACCATCCATACATTACATTTCCGTGCTTCAACTTACAGTTCTTGATTCACTGTCCCCTCGCTCTGGATTGGTTTTAACTACAACCTGAGTGACCATGCCAACCATCTCTGGGGAAGGAATAGTGTTCTCCGGGATCACCTGGGGGCTCTCAAAGTATCGGGTCTACAAGAAACCAAACAAAAATGCATTAATTTCAAAACAAATGGAAGGGATAATCTTATAGAAGGATTAATCCTCAACACAAAACATACCACAACTTTAATGAGGTCTTTGTAAATCTGTTTCACAAAATCAAGAAAGTGGTGAATCTGTAAACAAACCAAAAATGTATGAGTAAAGTAATGCCATTTTTACAGCAGACATCATTTGAAATGCCACCACAAAAATCAAGGCTTTCTACTCCAAAAATCTTTCTATTCCAAAAATCAAGGCTAAAGGTCTTAAACTAGATTTTTTTTACATCTCATTTTGCTCATAAAATCTGAATAGTCTCCACTGAACAGTTATTGCAATAAATCAAAAATACTGCATAAACTAGTTTATTCCTGACATCCGTTTCGCCCACAAAATATAGTCAATTCATTTTACAGTATATTCTGTGAAGCGCTGAGACGTCTTGAAGATGTGATAAGGCACTATATCAAATGCAAGGATTATTATTATTATCCTACATTTTCATAATGTTTAGACTATGAGGCTACTTACTTCTTGTGTAATCGGTGGTCTGAACTGTTTATGTAATTCAATGATGATCCGCAGACATATTAGCACATTCTCTTCATTCTCAACCTGAAACAAGTTAATAGCTTAAATGTAACATCACATCAATCACTTACCATTGGTACTGACTAAAACTAACACTTCGGAGGCATAAAAAAATTCATGCTCCTAGTCTTAACACTCCTGTTTGAAAATGTAAGATCGTACAGAAATGTGAAAAATTCAATCATAAATTGGCCCTTTTTAAGAATTTTAACAGTTCTTTGAAAAGCACTGAAGAAAACTGGCTTCCAAATTGAGACTTAATTTAAGAATTTTCCACAAATTTTGCAGTCTCAAATTTAAAAAAATAATTTTAAGGCCACAGTTCTTAATTCCATGACAATGAATTCTTAATTAGTCACATTTCCACACACTTTCCAAATTTTAGTATTGTTTAGTTTGGGCAAAGCCAAAGGTTTTCGTGATTATTCGTAATTATTTCTTTGTTATATTTTTTTCATTCAGATCAGTCAAGATTTCAGTATAGATTTATATTGCAGAGGGAATAACAGATCCACCAATAGTAACAACTTTGGATATCCAAAGTTGTGAATTTGAACACACAAAGTGGAAAGATTATGACTAACCAGCTGTCAATAATAGCGGTGATTAGAAATTCTCTTTAATTACAGACATTAATTTAATGCTGCAGGCAAAGATTTAAAAACACAAAATAGAAAAGAACATGACGACTGCATACCTCCAAAACATACTGAAACTTACCTCTAAAAATCGAAACATCAGAGATAGAATATTCTTTGTGTGAGAACGCAAATGCTCATTTGTTGGAATTCTATGGATGATCTCAAGAACAAGCTTCCGAACTTGCTGCAAATAGTTTTTTTTAAAAGATTGGATCAGTAGATTTATCAAAATGCTAGTGCTGTTACACAGTACAATAAAGAGCCATTCACAGAAATCATAAATATTACAGCAAGTCCTTGCACTACAATTTTTTTTACATGCAAATGGCAAATATACAAAAGCTCTGATAAAATTATGTGACAATATCAGAGGATCCAGTTCAAGATCCTGGGCCTCACCTACAAAGCCGTCCATGGCCTCGCCCTACCCTACCTTTGCGACCTCCTAACCCCCTACCAACCTGCCTGTTCCCACCGCTCCCACCGGCCTGCTCCACGTCCCTCGCCCCACCCCCGCCTTCAGCCTCTCTGCCCCCAACCTCTGGAATTCCATCCCCCAATCACTCCGCCTCGTCCCCTCCTTAGCCTCCTTCAAGTCCCACCTCAAGACCCTCCTCTTCGACCATGCCATCGGCCACCCCTCTTCCCTTCCCTTCTCTCCCCCCCGACCCCAGCTCGGGTCTGAAATGCTGTACACTGTCCAGCGCCTTGGGACGTCCTCCCGATGTGAAAGGCGCTATACACGTGTAATTTTGTTGTTGTTGTTGTTTTGTAGCTCTGCCTTTCCCTTCGTTGCTGGTTGTTCTGGCCCACGCTGGACTGGTGTGTATTATCATCTGAACCAGCAGGGAGCACTAAACCTCTGTGTTCTTCGGGAAACATCTTTACAAGGAAATTGCGAAGGGGAAAAATCCACTTCTGAAACACAATCGAGAAAGCTCTTTATTGATTTTTCTCACCTTTTCAGGTTCCAACGCTTCCCTCATCTGCTCACTTTTCTTAAGCGATCTTTTCCACATGTTAAGACATCTAAGCCACACATCGTGATGTCGAATACATCGTCTACTCCGATACTCTAACGCAGGGCTGAGGGAGCTCCACGCTCCAATACATTGTTGGAGGTGCTGTCCTTCAGATGAGATGTTAAACTGAGGCTGGTCAGATGGACGTAACAATCCCAAGGCACTATTCAAAAAGAGAAGGGAGTTTCTTCTGGTGTCCTGGTCAACCCTACCACCAGAATAAACTCTCTCATTCACTTCATGGCGGTTTGAGGAGATTGTTGGGCAAAAATTGGCTGTCACACTAGCTTACAAAATACACAGTTGTTGCACTTTTCAGTAAATCTTGCGAAGCGCTTTGAGGTGTTCTTTCAATGCAAAAGATACTGTATCAAATGTAAGTATTATCATTATAGGAGGAGTCAATTCACTTTACAGTATGTTCTGTGAAGCACTTTGAGACATGTTGAAGACATAATAAGGCTCTATATCAAATGCAAGGGTTATTATTATTATTATTAGGCAGGGTAGAGTGGGCATTCTGCAAGGAATACATCAAATGAGTAGAAGAGTGTTTTGGAAACTCTCGTGATCATGAACAAGTGATCTGATCTGAGGGGAGAAAAGAGGAAATGATTCTGAGGATTCATTTCCATTTTGAAATCTTGTAAATGTTACTTTGTCACTGGAGGAGGGGTCTCCCATGTCGTTTGGGGAAGAAAAGTGTGGGTGAGGGTTTGGCTACACAGCTTAACCAGGAGGCTGCGACATTTGACAGATTGGAAATTACGGTAGAAGGAAGAGTGTGTGTGGCATCAGCTTGTATATTGGGCAAGGAGAGCGTGATAGAGCAGTGACACCTCCACACGCAGACAGACGATGGATCCTCAGTGCATTGGAGCCTTGCTTCTTCTCGCGATCGGCTTAAATCAAGCAAGTGCATCAGGTGAGGACAACTCTGAACCCCCTTCTCTCATTATTCACCAAGCCAAGACACTTCCCAAGAGTCCTGTAATAAAGTGGCAGTGCTCAACAGGAGCAAAAGCATCCTGGCAAGCTCATCCATCTGGTAAATTTGCAGTCTTTTGTGGTTTATCTGATTCTTCTGAAAAAGTAGGAGAGAAACGGACAGATTGATTGACAGTAATTAGGGCCATTGCTTTTATTTTTCAAAGAATCTTACTTGCACAGAAGAAGGCCGTTCAGCCCACCCTGCCTGCTCTCATTTAAGGGGAGTGTGTGGAGTGGACTTCACGCACTTTTATTTTGCCTTTTTCTGTCCAGGTACCTGTGTGTAGACAAACATGCAGTGGAAACAACAACACAACAAAATTACATTTGTATAGCGCCTTTCATGTCAAGAGGATGTTGTTATAATGTGGTAGTTGGGTTCCTTTTGTTGAAAAATAGAAGTTGGGTTTTTTTTAACAATAAAAGCACGGTCACTGATCATTGTCAACCTGTCCATTTCTCTCCTATATTTTCAAAGGAATTAAAAATGAAATATAAAAGTTAATTGGGTGCTTATAAGCAAACTAGGGTTCCAAGGGGCACCTTATAACAGCACTTTACTGTATTTACAGCGAATCGGTTGAATTATTTCCTGAAGGTTACTACAGATGGCCCCATCACCAGTGGAGCCCAGGCTACAATCAGCGCCAGGCTGATGGTAAGGAACGGGAGCCAGATGCATCCAGCTCAACCCAACGCTTTCCACTTCCACTGGAAACTGCAGCACACTCTTTCCATTAAGTGGCGATCAGAAGATAGTTCTTCCATCAGTGTGCTGGCACCTTTGGCAAACATCTACGACCTTCAGGTTTGGGTGACACATGCGGATTGCTGGATATGCCTACCAGTGGCAATTGGCTTTGCCACGCTTCATGTCACAGGTTAGAATTTTATTGTTTTTATGTTAGACATGCCTTCTCCTTCAAGGTCCTATCTGCCTGTCCTCAGATGGGAAGTAAAGATCCCTTAAGACTGTTGGAAAAGAGAACGGAGTTTCTCCTGTTGTACTGGCTGATAATCCTTCAAATATAAACTGGTCATTCATTTTATAACATGCCCTGTTCTAACATGTAGTCTGTGGTTATGGACTCAAACCTTCACTTTATAACAAGGGTCGGCCTGGAATTGTCAGCATTCCTCTGTAGTAAAAGAAGAAGCACCAGAACTGTGCAATTTAAAAAAAACTTTTTTGCAAACACCTCTGTTTATCTAGCAGTAAGCAGGAACACAGTTGTTAGTCGATTGGCGGATCGCATTCTGGGGGTAATAATCCCTCCATTAAAAAAATATTGTCACTCAATCCACGACTGTTTGCGGGGCATTGCTGTGTGTAATTGGTTGTTGCATTTCGCACACAAAATACATAGTCGATGCCCTTTACAATATATTCTGTGAAGCGCTTTGAATCGTATCAACGACATGATAAAGCACTATATCAAATGCAAGGATTATTATTATCATTACTTACGTCAGCGCTCGGGACTTAACTCCTGAATACCATCTTCCTGTTTCATCATAGAGGTTTTATTGAAACTAGGAAGTAAAGCGCACAAACCTTTAAAGTTTATCATTTATAATCATTTCTAATCCTCTAAATCCCTCTCCAGAATGGATGGCATACAATTCCACAATTATTAATTTGGAGGAAGTGTTTCCTTCCTCTCCCAAAAAACAACTTTTCCCGTGTTTAACCAATAACCATTATTTGTGGTCTCTGTAGCTCAGCTCCTCACATAGTAAAACTTATTGAGGAGCTCAGTTCCCTATTTGTAGGGTCTTATGAATAAATCCGTTTTATTGGTACAATCTTACTCAGCAGACGTTGCTACTTTGCTGTTTTTCAGGAAGTTCCTTATGTTATTGGCCCTCATAACATAACATAGAATACTTTGCTTATATTTTTGCTCTCTTCTAATGGAGAAGCATTTACTATCTTTTAAAGGGACTGCAAGTGGGATAAGGGAGAACTCGTGAATCCAGATAGTTTCCTTCTCGCTTGTGACAGATTAGCTCAAGTCATTTGTTGTTAATATTGTGGTTATATCATCACCACTGTCCTCTCATAGATTTGAAGTAGTTGTGTGCATTCATTTTTTTTTGTCACAGTTAAAGAGCAGAACAAGTTCAGCACAAGTGTTTTGTTAATACTGCAGTACCAGTAAGCTGGGTGAAATATCTTGGTGGCAAAAACATTGAAATGACAGAATTGGAAATCATTCCATCCATCGAGTCTATGATAGTACAGGCTCTTCACTGGAACCAGCTACTCTCGCTATTCTGGCTATTCTAGTCCCAATTTCCTGCTCTTGCCTTGTACACTTTTATATTGTTCCTCTTGAAATACTTAAATTCAATTTAAAGTATCTCATTGTATTCACTTCAGTAATAATAATAATCCTTGAATTTCATATAGAGCCTTATTATGTCTTCAAGATGTCTCCAGTTGCTTCACAGTATATTCTGTGGCTGTGTGTGTTTTGGGGTGAAACGCGGCAGCAAATTGCACACAGCAGTGTCCTACAAACAGTTGTGGTTTCAGTGATCACATTTCTCTTTCTTTCTTTCTTTCTTTCTTTCTTTCTTTCTTTCTTTCTTTCTTTCTTTCTTTCTTTCTTTCTTTCTTTCTTTCTTTCTTTCTTTCTTTCTTTCTTTCTTTCTTTCTTTCTTTCTTTCTTTCTTTCCTCTTCTTTTCTTTCTTTCTTTCTTTCTTTCTTTCTTTCTTTCTTTCTTTCTTTCTTTCTTGTATTTATTTATTTGAAGAGATTATTCCGTGAGCTAATAATGCTCTCCTTGAAAATAACCATCTTCTAACCTCCTCTTTGACTCTTCCAGGGACAATCTTGAGGTTCTGCCAACATTATGTTTTTTTTTGGGGGGGGAACAGTCAGTCAATCAGTCTTACGTCAATGCGAAGATGGTCGTCAGGTTATAATAATAAAATAATAATCCTTGCAAGGACGTCATGGAGACGTCTCAAAGCTCTTCACAGAATATACTGAGTGGTAAATGGATGCAATATGCAATTTCAAGCCTTGCTCTGTTTCTCACTGTAGACTCTGTGGTGGGACATGTTTCATTGATGCAGTCAAATAGTAGCATTGACCCTGAGGCTGGAAGTTATCAACTGGCTACCAACACCTCAACCAAGATCTCCTTCATTCTTTATGATCCCAGTAATTACTTCAGCACAGCTTCATTCCTCTACATTTGGAGATTTGGAGATGGGTAAGTACTTCAGTAACAAATTAACTACACTAATAGAAATTTACAACCCACTTTGAGGTGGCAGGAAATCACACTGAGGCGACCCAATCTAATGAAAAATCAATAGGACACCAGAGTGGTGGGATCCATTTTCCAATGCTTGCTATAACTTTCTGATCTCAGTGTCAACTTGGATGTGTTGTCAATGCCCTCACCTCTGGGTCAGAAGGCTGTCAAGCTCCACATTAGGGTTTTGAACTCATAGTTCAGGCAGGGTGACACTTCAGTAACAGCAATTCTCGAACAGCGTTGTCAGGTTGTTAAACCGAAGTCCTCAAAGATTCCACTATTCAAAGTGAGAAGGAAGTTTCTCCCCATGTCCTGGTCCACGATCCTTCAGATAAATGCGTCGTTCACTTCATGTCTATTTATGGAACGTTGCTGTAAGTATATGTTACTGTGTGTGTTCAGAAATAGTCATTTCACTTTACAGAATTCTTTTTAAAAATTGGCTAGCCAAGTGTCTGACACGCATGGAAACCCACCCATCACCATGTTTAAGAGAACAAACGTACTGAGAGTTCCACATATGTATGCCACCAACACATGGAAATTTCCCTGCGTCTGGAATGGGATGTGTACTCTCTCCCCTGGAGGGACGGATCCCACTAATCCCGGAGCATAATTCTTTGTGAAGCACTTTGAGATGTGTCAGTGTTATAGGCGTACCAAATGCGTCAATTATTATTGCATGTATTAACTTCTTTGTGACGGGGTGGGAGGGGGTAAGTAGAGGTCAGATGTTTCCTCATGGGGACGGCGCCTAGTTTCCTGCATTGCTCATTGGGAGATTTCCAGTGACCAACGCACAGCAACATTGGCCAATACTGCAGCAACAACAACAACAACTTGCATTTACATAGTGCCCTTCACGCCAGACAGCATCCCGGAGCACTTGCAAGTATCGTGTTCACATCCCTGGGTCACAGTCCAACAAAATTGCAGTCCTGATGCAGTTTTAGGCAAAGCGTTTGAAATGACGTAATTTTAAACCAAGCTAGGAATTAAACAGCCCTTTTTTGAGATCACTGAAATAATCAGTACACAGCAGTGGAGTAGAGGACACACATTTCCTGATGGCAACGGCGCCCAGTTTCCTCCATTGCTCATTAGTCATTAGGACTTTCTAGTGACCAACGCAATGCAGAGACTGTATCTGTATAGAATGTTACTACACAGAAAAAGGACACGAGATGCATCAAGCATGATTTTTCAACACATAAGTCACCTAATCTATTCCCACTCTCTTGTTCCCTCCCTCATAAACAGACAACAAAATAACAAATATGCAATAATTAGGAGACTTATTGGCTGGTTCCAACTTCTTAACGAGTGTTATCCTTCAAATCAACTTGTACCCACGGCTTTGCAGAAATCCAGTGGATTTTGCTTGGAAGTTTATCAGTGCAAAGGTTAGGTTTCTTTATGAGAACGTATCTGTTATTTTCTGTCCCTGTATTGTATCGTATTGTTTTGCACAGGAGTAAAATGGTCACAAACGAATCCTATGTATCATATATCTTTCACACCCGCGGGGTTTACCACCTGAGAGTTGAAGTTCTTGCTCATCTGAATGCTTTCCAGCGAAAAAATGGAGTCTACACAGCCACACTGAATCTACTAGGTAACCAGTTTCTCTCAGCACTTACATTATGTCACAGGTTACAACAACAACAACAACAAAATTACATTTGTAAAACGCCTTTCACGTCGGGAGGACGTGCCAAGGTTCTGAACAGTCAGGGATCAGGACCCGAGTGTGGGGGGGCAGGGTTGGGATGGAATTCAAGCCTGAACAACCCACTAAGTGAAGAAATCTATTCTAACCTCACCACCAATCCTTCTGCTTGCAATCCTAAGACTGTGTCCCCTTGTCACCGATCTCCTAATCAGTCGTTTTTCCCCTTCCATCTCATCACGTTAAAGATCTCTACCATATCATACGGAACTGTAATGACTTGTGAAGTGCTTTGAGATGGTTTGATGTGAGAAGGAGTTATGTCAGACAAGCCCTACCTCCGGAGCAAAGATTAGCACATTAGCAAAGATTTGGTTTCCCAATCGACACTCAAACCCAGAGATGTTCATTGCTCCAATATGAACACAGTTGAGTTGAAGTTTGCACATAATTCCTGTTCCTGCAAGATTTGGAGACAGAGCAATAGATACGGTTCATTCTCCTAATACTAACTTGTTCTGTAGACCCAGTCCGAGCAATTGAGATCACCAGTAACCAAGACAACCGGGTCGACCATAGAATGGACTTTTTGTTGTATATCAACGGCAGGTAAGAGATTTTAGATTTGTTCTTGATAAATTACAGTTCCCAAGAACTCATTCTGTTCCATTTCATTCATATGAGGAATGTTGATGCAGATTCGCTCCAAATTCTCAATCAATGTGAAATAATCATCCTGCTCACACTGGAAGGAAAGAGGTTGTCACTGGATTTTTCCAATGTCCTGCTCAGCAGCCTTTCCAGCTCAACTCTCCGCAAGCTATAGATCAACCAAACCTCTGCAGCCTATAATTGCTTTTGTACCAAGCTCAGAAGCCCACCATCACTTATTGCCAGTTTCCAGTGGCTCTCTATTCAACAGGGTATTGACTTTAACATCCTTATCCAAACTTTCAAATGCCTCCGTGCCCAATCTGTTATCTCCTGTGGTCCTATTCTCTTGTCCGCTCCCTGTCAACTCTGGCAAGCAATGGCAAGCGATGACCTTGACCCTTCTCTCTGAAACTCTCTCTCTATATCCCTGTGCTCTGCATCCATCTGGTTTCAAAACCCTTCTAAAAGCTTTCCTTCTTGACTACGCTTTTGGTCAGCTCCTCCCGGGTTTCTTAAATTTCCTTGGGCTTCTGTGAAACTGACTCTTATCAACAATTAAACTTTGTTACCAGGTACAGACCCTGTGTGCAGTGGCAAATAAACATTGCCTGCTGTCAAATGCTGCTTTTCTATGTTTTATAAGATTACCCTCCAGAGCTGCGGTTATATAACAGATTAAACTGGAGCAGTGAGTGCGACTGTAAAAGCATTTTAAGACAAGCAACATCCCACCATTTTCAGTTAGTGTTATTTCAGTACATTTGGGAAGTTCTAGTGTAAAGGGTTAGCCTCCCAGAGTGTCAGGTTTCTTTCACTGTTACATTGCATTGGAACCAAGCGTGGAATAAAAGTGGAAATAACATTATGGGATATAGTGCATAGGTAGTTTGGGGACAAATGTGCATGCGACCGGCAGGAGGATGGAAGGCAAACTATATTAACTTTGGGCTTTTTTTGTCTAGCATTTCTTCCGTTCTTCTGTTAAAGTGGGACATTTAATTTAGGAAACCTAGCATGCCCTCCTGTCACAGTCCACAAAAGCCTGGATTGATATGGGGATCACCTCAACAACTTTCGTACGCTGAGAGAAATCTCACCCTGAACCCTAAAGCCGATCAAGCAAAAATCCAAAACTTTCTTCTACTGGGCCTTCCTTCCATACTCTATCCTCCACAACCTGTTCATCTTTTCAGCACATCAAGCCCCAGCTAGTTTGGCACCAACAGTAGCCCCAACGTACACTCTTGGGTCCCCAAGCCTCTTGCCAACCTGCACCTAATACTCTTGAGAATCGGATAAGTAGGATGCATCCCTCTAGAAAGAGTGTGCGTTCCATCCGAACAATTTTTGCCCACAAAGTGTACAGTCAATTCACTTTACAGTATATTCTGTAAAGCGCTTTGAGATGTCACAAAGACGTGATAAGGTGCTATATCAAATGGTGGATTATTCAACTTTCTTCAGTTGAACGTCAACAAGATCGAGCCTCTCCTGATTGATGTCCATCAGTGCCTCCTCACCTCAGGCGCTGACAGCATCACAATCCAAGGATGCACACTCCACCGTGCTAAGCCAGTGGGGAACCTTGGGATCTTGTTTGACCCTCAACTATCCTTTCTACCCTACATCCGTGCCATGATCCGCTCTGCCTTCCCCCACCTCTGCAACATCGCCCGGCTCCACCACTGTCTCACACCGCAGACCACTGAAACCCACGTAGATACATTCCTTACATCGAGGCTTGACTGCAAATTCCTTATTTGTCGACCTCCCCAACTCCTCCCTCCATCGGCTGCAGATCATCCAGAACTCCTGCAGCCCATGTTCACTCCCACACAGCAAAGTACTCTAATTCCAATTCATAGAATCATAGAATTATACAGCACAGAAGAAGGCCATTTGGCCCATCTTGTCTGTGTCGGCTCTTTGAAAAGAGCTATCCAAATCAATCCCAATTCCCCGTGCTCTCCCCGCAGCCCTGCAAACTTATTCTCCCCAAATAATTATCTACTTCTCTCTCAAAAGTTGTTATCGAATCGGCTTCCACCACCTTTTCAGGCAATGCATTCCAGATCCGAACAACTCGCTGTGTGAAAATATTTCTCCTCACCTCTCCTGTTTCTTTTAACAACTATTTTAAGTCAGCGTCCTCGGGTTACCGACCCTCCCACCAATGGAAATAGTTTCTCCTATCGAATCCCCTCATAAATTTAAAAACTTCTATTAAGTCTCCTCTTAACCTTCTCTGCTCCAAGGAGAATAATCCTGGCTTCTCTCGCCTCTCCTGATAACTGAAGTCTCTCATTCCTGGTACCATCCTGGTAAATCTCCTTTGCACCCTCTCCAATACCTTGACATCCTTCCTAAAATGTGATGCCCAGAACTGAACACAGTCTCTAGCTGAAACTGAGTGTTTTATAAAAGTTCATCATAACTTCCCGACTTTTGTATTCTATGTCTCTGTTTATAAAGCCTAGTATCCCATGTGCTTTTTGAACAGTGGCTGGGAGCAAAATTCCCAGCCCTTTCCTTTCCCCAGCTCGTTTTATACGCTTCCTCTTCCAACATTTATCCAGTTCCGTTTCAAGTGCCTTGAGAAGTATTGGTTCAGTTCAGTTATGATAAGCAATGGAATATGAGCCTGTGATGTCCTGTGGCTTGTTTGCAGCCCGCCGCTGAGCCTGTGCTGGTTGATCTCTCCGGACTGCATCCCAGACCCTGGACATGAGTGTCACTCAGTGTCGCTAAAGAGGACATCACACTACAATCTCAGCTACACCTCGAGTGAACCGGGCCCTTACACTCTCAGCGTCCGAGCCCAGAATGACATCAGCGCCTTTCACACATGCTATACAGTAAACACTTGGCAAACAGGTGAGTGAGGGAGAGATTCCCCATGAGTCTGCGTGACATACTTCCTGAATGAAGGAATCTTGTTTAAAATCGCAATTGATTAGACCCAAAGTTTGCTTAACGTGGTCAAAAATGATCTAAAACCAAACAACAACAAATTACATGTGTAATGGTGCCTTTCACTTCAGGAGGTCACCCCAAGGCGCTGGAACAATGGGGCAAAAAAGAAAGTTAGCGCAACTAACAACTGTTTCTCTGACACATTCTTTCCCCTGATTCATCCATGGCATTTCAGAAGCTTCCCCTCTCCCTGACCACTAAGCTTATACGGTAGTATAAATTCCCATGTGCCACCATATCAAAAGGGCTTTAACTTAGCTGAGTTGGTAGCATACAAAGTTTAAGCTCCAGGTCAGTATTTGACCCCAGTCAGGCTGACTCTCCAGTGCAGTACTGGAGATGTGCTGCGTTATTAGAAACTGCTGTATTTTCGGGTAAGATGTTAAACTGTTTGCATATTCAGGTGAATGTTAAAAATCCCATCTCACTATTCGAATAGATAAGGGTGCTTCTCCCGGTGTCTTGGCCAATAATCCAGCAAAAAATTGGTTCATGGCTTGCATGGCTGTTCCTGTATACAAATTGGCTGTTGTGTTTGTGTACAAAATACAGTAACTATGCTTAACAGCAATCACTTGTGAAGTGCTTTGAGTTGTTTCGATGTTAAAAATAATTCTTATCATAAAAGTTTCACTAAAATCTAAATCACTTGTACACAAAAGGTCCCTCAAGTTGATTTGTCTGCAAGTTTTGTTTTTTCTTCAGTAAACTTAACTCAGGCACGAGGAACAGATGCCAACCAATTCAGGGAAGTTGTGCAAGTGTTGAGCAATACTGGAGCCCCTTGTGACTGAATAAGATCCTTCCTCTCTTGGCTGTACATTTCTTACAGTTAGAAGTCATAGCGCTCCAGGGTTTAAGTTCAATGGTCCGAGAGAATATTAGGAGGGGAGTACAATACAAATACAATACAATTCACATCTATTTTTCATATCGGGAAAACATCTCAAAGCGCTTCCCAATGTGTACTTTTACGGGTAACTGCCATCAAGTGTAGTGACTGTGCAGCGAATAACTTGGGATAATAATAACCTAGAACAGGGATAATGGAGCTTTAGATAAAACACGGTGTCCCTGGAGTTTTGAAGGAGTGAGAGGAAGCAAGGCACAGAGAGTTTGGAAGTGAGCGAGTTCAGATAAGTCCATCCTTTGTAGAAGATAAAATTAGTTACCCACATCCTTTGTCCAGACAAAGAGTTCAAGTGGCAAAAATGAAGGTACAGTTAGAAGGACAGACATACTTCTTGGGGAGAGGGGAGGTTGGCATTGCTTATTTTATGGATCTCAAGGCTGAACGGTCCCAACGGAATATAAAGCCAAAACCTTTCAGTCCCCAATCCAGTGGTCAACTTGTTGATCTTACCCAGGGAGAACCATCTCCTCGATCTCCTGAGAGAAGTGTGTGATTAAATGTGTCCTGCAGTAAGTATATGTGTCCTGCAGTACACAGCCAACTTCCAGTCTCTACCATTGGACAGACAACAACAGATACATTCTTGAAACAAACTAAAGAATCAAAACAATGTCCCTGTTTTGAATCCATATGTGTCAGTGTTTTTTTACAAGGATTACAGAGCCTCAGGGAGTCCATGCAAATTATGCTCATTTACAAAAGGAATCCGATCAAAACGGCTGCTTCTCACGCACTGCCGCAGAGCAGAAAAAGTAGAGCATTTCCCGAGAGTCGGGAGACAAGTGGAGAATGGATGAGAAGAAGGAGGTTCCTAATGGGGGGGCGGGAGGTGGGGTGTGGGGTGGGGGGAGGTTTTGCATGTTGCAGGCTCACATTAGGCCATGTCAGGCAGTGGTTAAAGCACTCACCTCGCAAGCGAGAGGCCCTGCGTTCGTTTCCCTGCAGGGCAAATTTCCTTTCTCCACACGCCTCTGTTTATCTAGCAGCAAGTAGGAACCAGGTTGTTAGTCGATTGGCGGATTCCTTTTCCGGGGATAATAATCCCTTCAAAAAATAAACGTTAACAATTTGGTCACTCAATCTACAACTGCTTTTGAGACACTGCTGTGTGCAATTGGCTGTTGCATTTCGCCCACAAAATATATAGTCAATTCACTTTACAGTATATTCTGTGAAGCGCTTTGGGACGTCTCAACGATGTGATAAGGCGCTATATTAAGTGCAAGGATTATTATTATGATGTCTACAGTGTAAATAGTAACCCTTGCCTTTGATATAACGCCATATCACGTCTTTGAGACATCTAAAAGCACTTCACAGTGTTTTGTGGGTGAAACGCGGCAGCCAATTGTGCACAACACTGTCCCACAAACAGTCAGGTAAGAGAGCGCGAGCAAGGCAGAGGGATGGAGGGAGGAGGGAAAGGCGTGAGAGAGAGGGTCTTGTGACAATCTTTGGACTTGTACCCAATACAACTCTAAAAATGGAATATGTGTCATATTTATAGGCAGCGAGTTTCTCCCTCCTCTGCCCATTGGAGTCGCAAGTTGTCTGATTTTTACCCTTTTTCCCTCAACTAGGTGTCCACCAAGTCTGGTTCATCATCCCATGCATCGCTCTCTTAACTCTGATTCTAATTTTCATACTTTCCGTCACCATCAGAAACAGCTCGGGACAGAAGGACCTCGTGGAGGTGAGTTCACTTTGCAGATACCATCAAAGAGGCTGCTGCTCACAACCGATTGACAGTGCGTCACTCTCAGTAATATTATTATATAGTAGTATTAATATTACTTCAAATAAATATTTTGTAAGCAAATTCGGCAGTCAATTTGCACACAGCAATGTCTCATATAATAATAATAATAATAATCCTTGCATTTGATATAGCGCTTTTCACGTCGGGAGGACGTCCCAAAGCGCTTCACAGAACACACTGTAAAGTGAATTGACTGTATATTTGTGGGCGAACGCGGTAGCCAATTGCGCACAGCAATGTCCCACAAACAGTCGTAGATTGAAAATGACCAATTTATTATTGTTTTTGGTTTTTTTGGAGGGATTATTATTAGGCTCTGTGTGGAGTAAGGAAACTTGCCCAAGGTTTCGCCCTCTGCCGGGAATTGAACTCAGGTCTCTCACTTGCAAAGCGAGTGCTCTAACCACTGAGCTACAGGACTCCATATACAGTCATGAATAACAGTAATAATAATGATAATAACCCTTTGCATTCGATACAGCAGATTGTTAGCCAGGACACCGGGAGAAACTCCCTTCTCTATTTTCAGTAGGTGCGTGGGATTTTTAACATTCACCTGAACAGACGGACAATACTTTGGTATAACATTTCATCTGAAGGCTAGCGCCTTTGACGATGCAACCCTCCCCCAGCACCGCGTTAGACAGTCAGCCTCGACTATATGAGCTCTAAGTCCCCAACGCGGAGTTTGAAACCGCACCCAGCCATCTTACTGAGGAGGCGAGCGGGTTATCGACTGACAACCCACAAAGGGGGGAATAGCAAAATGAGTCCACGGGAGGGCGCCACATCACACAAGACAAGCAGTCGGGACGTTGACGAGTTATTAAGCTCCCAAATAGCCTTTTGTGTTCAGAGCTTTTCATTCCACCTTTGTGCCCTGTGTTCTTCTCGAAAAGGTGGCAGATTTCGATTTCTCTCCAGCCACGACCAAACAGGCGGCAGCAGACCGGGCTCCACCCCGCAGCCGCGATCAACCGTGGTGTTGCTTTCCAACAGCAGACGAAGAAGACGAAGGAGAGAAAGAGGACCAGCCACTCCTGAAGCCCACCCGCCCGGCACCCCCGAATTACACCCACCCGTAGGGCACCCCCGAATTACAGCCACCCGCCCGGCACCCCCCGAATTACACCCACCCGCCCAGGATGTGAACTGCACCCCAAGTCACCTTCACAGCACTGCGTCCTCGACTCTGCCGCTCTTCCCATTCTGCAGCAAACCCTGGCCTTTTATACAAAGTGCAGCACACGCTGGGTCGGCAGCGCTCCGGGACACTATCCCGCCTGAAGGGCGCTATATAAATGCAAGTTGTTGTTGTCACACCCTCCAGCAGTGAGGGCCAATGTCCATAGCCTTGTGAGCCAGAGCCTTACATAGATAGGGCGGCCTTAGCGCTGCACTGCAGTTACTAATTCCCTTCCACAAGCCATTAACTTGTGCAGGGAAACTGTACATTATCTGATCTCTGCTCCTAACCTCGTTAAAGGCACGGTTCAAAATGTACCTCCTTGACCACTGCTTTCAATCATCTTTCTTCTTCCCAACACACTCAGCTTCCAACCCCTAGCGTTCAGGTGTCCATGCAGTATTGTCAAGCACTTTGAAACGTCCTCCCAAGTGAAAGGTGCTGTATAAATGTAAATTGTATTGTATCTTATTCCTAGTTATTACCTTTCGTCTGAACCATAAAAACAGCTGCCCATCACCATGCTTAAGAGTCTGCATTTATGTAGTTTGCATTTTTATGGGATGGAGCATGTTTTCTCTCTTTGGAAAGACATATCCTGCTTGCTTAACTGGAGCACATCAGCAAAGGTTGACAAGATCAACAGCTTGGGGACCTCAGAGTGTCAGTTTGGGTACTGGTGGAGGTTAACCTGCTGAAGCATGCAGCTTGCCATTGGATTCCCATGGCTTGTCCAGGGCTTTGGATCTTGGGATTAACAGGAGCCAAATGTTAAATTCCAGCCCTCAGTGACTGGTCTCCTTCTTCAGACTCTGACCCATCAACTCGATTCCAATCTTCCATTGGCTCTCAGCCACTGAGAGACTCCTTAGCCCCACTTAATTGTGACTTCTTATTAATGACTCCCAGACACAGACATCCACCCTCTAGAGACAGATCACACTCTAGGTCAAGAGTGGGCAGAGCAAGTTACGCATTAATTTAGCCAGAACATATTATGGTAAGTTTGATTATTTTTTATTTGATTGCTGTTGCTAATATGGACGTGTAGCATATCGGATCTAATATTAATAATAATACTCACATTTGATTTAGCATCTTTCTTCTCGTGAGTATGTTGCAAAGCGCTTCAAAGCCTGCTGGGAGCCCGAGCTGGGGGTTTAGGGAGCTAAGGAAGGAGGATGGATGACCAAAAAGGCGGTCAAAAAGAAAGGTCTTAAGGTGGTGTTTAAATAGAGGAGATGATGTCAAAAATACGACAGCATTTAACAAATCTGGCCACTCTGAGATACTAATAAATGGAATAAATCTAGACACATGTCATGTGTCTCCAGACTGCGAGAGATGGGAACTTGGCCAGTCTATCAGAGCAGCAGCTCTCTCTTACATGATGTGGTTGGAAAATGACATGTTTCATTTAACAGTCTTACCCCTTCAAACCCAGTTTTATAAACCCTGTTCCTCATCATGGTGTGGGGCTGGGGGAGAGGAAGAAAAGAGAGGAAATAGTCACCTTTACCTCCAAAAAGCGTCAAGAATCTCAGAAATCCCCATTACATTGAACGTTACATCAATATCGTTTCAAAAGTTCTTTTTTTAACCCAAAGGCCAACTTCAGTCACAGAAAATCTGAGTCCACAATATCAAACAAGCTGTGAGCATCAAGGATGTGAGTTCACTGAAGAGATGGAATATCTGTCTGAACCACTTCATATTTTGGACATGATTTGCTTTTGAAAAGATGTCTCTTTTTTCCCCCGTAGATCAGTATTTATTCCACCTCTGCCACATTGCCCGCCTCTGACTGTACCTTACCCCAAATGCAGACAAAACGTTTGTCACCTCCCGCTTAGATTATCCCAACGCACTCCTCGCCGGTCTCCTCAGCTCCACCATTCACAAGATCCAACTCATTCAGACCTCTGCCGCCCGCATACTGACCTGAACCAAACTCTGTAACCCTATCTCATCAGTTCTGGTCAGGCTCCAATGGCTCCCCATCACTGAAAGGATTGACTTCAAGATCCTCACACTCGTGTTCAAAACCCTTCACTTTCTCCCTAACTCTCCAACCTCCTCACTCCCCAGTGCACCTCCCGGCGCCTCCGCTCGACTGGCATCAGCCTCCTGCTCGTCCCTCACACCCTCCGCCCCACCGTTGGAGATCGCCCTTTCAGCAGCTATGCCCCAAAACTCTGGAATACTTCTTTAATCCCTCAACTCCTGCGTGAAAACCGTCCTGTTCGACCCGTGCCTACAGCCACTTCAAAACCCCCCGCCCACCCCGGTTTGCAGTCAGGCTCCGCCACTGTTAAACACTCTGAGACTCTACCCTGCGTGGAGGGGGCTATGTAAGTGCAAGTTGTTGTATTAATCTGTTAGTATGTTACACAGGCTTTTGTGTCCAAAGTGAAATCATTTTATCCACTGCATTTTATACCTTCAGAAACACTGACGTTAAGGTTTGTTCCTCCCCGCCTTTCCTCCCCCCCTTACACTCCTACCTCTCCTTTGCTATCAAAAAGACATTTGCTTTTTTGGATGTATCTTTCACTAAAGACAGCACCCAGATGGGTCTGCACCACCCGAGAAACGTATGAGAGCAATTCAGCACACATCATGTTGGTGCCATCATTTAGTTGAGCCAGATGGTGTCCTTTCTTCAGCTGCCCCCTCACCCCCACCGCCGTCCCATATCAGAACAGGCACACCTCAATAAAGCAATTTAGGACACCCTCCCAAAGTGAAAGGCATTAGATAAATTTAAACTGTATTATATAATCTCTCTGGTTCTCTGTCAGCACTGTGTGAGAATCAGTCGATTGCATTCATTATGATCGTAATAAAAAACATGCGTTCTACTCCTGCACAAATAAAAAGTAGCTTAAATATATTTCCTTAAAAAAATCTATCTCTTCCCCCGCCCTTTAATATATGTTACACAGTGACTCTCTAAATGCGTATTGCACATTCTAAAGACTGGCAAATCACTGCAATGGACAGACAGTAAGTGTGAAACGTCTGAAAGACCAGTTATATACTTGGGTGTGCTCGAGAAGCCAGGATTATTCTCCTTGGAGCAGAGAAGTTCTATAGAAGTTTTCAAAATTAAGAGGGGTTCGATAGGGTGAACAAGGAGAAATTATTTCCACTGGCGGGTGGGTTGGTAACCCAAGGACACCGATTTAAAGTAGTTGTTAAAAGAAACAGAGGGGAGGTGAGGAGAAATATTTTCATACAGCAAGTTGTCCAGATCTGGAATGCATTGCGTAAAAGGGTGATGGAAGCCAATTCGATAACAACTTTTAAGAGAGAAGCAGACAATTATTTGGGGAGTACAAGTTTGCAGGGTTCTGTGGAGAGAGCAGAAGAGTGGGATTAATTTGGATAGCTCTTAAAAGAACCGACGCAGGTACGATGGGCTGAATGGCCTCCTTCTGTGATGTATAATTCTATGAAAAGATTAATATTTGAGAATTGAATATAGATGGGTACTTCATAGAGTCATTTAAAATTTTAGAAAAAGTAATTCAGGATGCGACAAGGCAATAGAACAAGAAGATGTAGGTCTAGATTTGCAAAGGGCAATATCAGGAAAGACACCTGTTTCTCACCCACAACCTTCTGCATGTGTCAAACACTCGGTTAAAGACAAAAAAAATTGAGGTTATTTCGTTAACATTTCAGAGTGTGCAGAATTTGGTGAATTTACTTTTAACTTTGGAGTGTTCTGTTACTAGAGTAGATCTTGGCTCAGGCGGAATTTCCACAGGTGAGAATAGGATCACCTTTGGATTCCCTATCGTTGAACAGACTGTTTGTGGTATAAATGCTGTCCCAACCCGCCACCACTACCACACTTGCACTGATTCAGAATGAAGCCAAACAGAGAGAGTTCGCATTCAATTCGGGCGATAACAATAATAATCCTTGCATTTGACATAACGTCTAACATCACAATTCGTGGGATATACTGTAAAGTGCGGTGACTGTGTGCTTGTGTGGCCAACCGTGGTAGACAAGTTGCATAAAGGAATGATTCAGCTTATCAATAGTATAGCCGCTTTCACTGGCCTTGCTCACTTTGCAGCTGAAAAGAACACAAACAAAAGAGAGTTTAGCAGGCGAGTCACCTTCAGATTGTTCCATTCTTGCAGTCACTGTACAGTATCTGGCAACACGCTTTCATCAAACGTACACAAAAGGTTTATTGATAGAATTGGGCATCTGCTTTTGCAAGAGTCTCTTTATTTCTACATTTCTCACATCAGCTCGATCATAATGTTCTACAAATTGTAACACGATTACAAATTGGACATTTAATTAAAACGTTTTTTTAAAAAAAACAAAGCACAAAACATAAACAGGAGAAAGTGGATCAGGCAGTAGGGGAGCCGGCTGATTTAAGGATGAAAGATGGATCCTATTCTTTGTTCTTGCAGTTTTCCTATCTTCTTTCTTTCATTGCCGGCTTGCCGAATTTTGGACCTTGGACACGTTTGTGCATACTCGATACACGTGTATCAGAGAACTCACCACGTTGGAGAGGCGACAACAGTCAAAGTGAGTGTTAAAACACAAACACACATCGGTGCGAGGCTGTGAAATGCATTGATCTGGAGAAGCACAAATTCATGAGAGGTGGTTGGAAAGACCAGTTCCGATAAAAGGGCAGAAACATGAGTCAAGTTGGCAAGAGAATAAAAGCATATTCCGTATCAACGTGAGCAGAAAAACTCAATTTGTCATCCCATATCCAACTAAATCCTTGTTTTTTGGTTACTTTCATCTATGATGTATCACAGGGTATTGAACCATACCTCTCCTTTTGTTTTGATTTTCTGATCTAGTTGAAGGGCTTCAAGTGCCTCTTTGTAGCTGAGAGTGGGAGGACAACTCATTGTTGCAATTCATCACTGGTTCATTTAAGCTGCCCTGTTGCCAGGGAATCAGTCATACTCTAGATCTGAAGTAAGATGAATTGGGGGAATATATGAAAAGGCACAAGTTGGTTCATTAGAATCTTCTTCCTTCCAAAGAACTTCCACAGAGTGGACAACCTGTGACTAATACACAGCAATAAGGCTCTTCCTTCCCATTTTCTCATTCTCTCCCAAAGCACTGAGCTGTTCTGCTCAGTATACCTCAATGTTCCCTCATACATCACCTAAGTATCCTTGCTTCATGTGTAGACACCTATGAAAGTGCATCAAAGCCAAACTCATTCCTTTACTCACCGCAGGATTCATATCCCTGCATTTTCTAACTGGAGTCCCTGATTAGTAACACTTGACTTCATTGTAATTATATGAAATACACTGGTGCCTCTTGTTAAAAACCTTCCATAATTTTATATTCCTTGAAAGCCAATGTTATTTGTGACACCATGGAGGGCGATGTATTCCTAAATATTTGATGGCACAACAAAAAGGATCCTAAATGTTAATATCAGAAACTCCATTAGAAATTATTCCAGATATTCTACCATTCAATAGGAATGATTGAAACAGTCTACTC